CTTACAAACACATCTAAATTTCATAGCCCAGGTAAACTTACTGTTGGCAATGGTAACTCGTTAGACATTCAGCTGGTTGGTGATTCAAGTTTACCTTCTGCTTCTAGAATATTGGTTTTGTACGATTTACTGCATGTTCCTCGTGTAACCAAGAACTTGTTTTCGGTCTCAAAGCTTGCTAGAAACAACAACATAATTTTTAAGTTTCATGCCAGTAGTTGCTGTGTACGAGATAAGGTGACTAGACAGGTGCTTCTGACTGGTGAGGAAACTGGAGGGCATTATTCATTTGTAATGATAAGATTGCGAGGAAAGACAAGTGCACGCTTGCTAACATTAGCTTTGTTACTAAAACTATACCTAATGAAATAGAGGAGTTGTGGCATCGAAGACTTGGCCATACCTCTAGTGATGTGCTAAAACAAATTACTAAAGAATTTGACGTAACAGTTGTTGTTGATGTTAATAAAACATGCAATGCCTGTCATATGGGCAAAAGCCACATGTTATCCTTTGTTCAATCAAATACAATGTATGATACCCCTTTTCAACTTATCTTTACTCGACATACATGGGTTTACCTGCTAAAATACAAGTCTTAGGCCACTGAAGCCTTCTTGTTATTTCAAAGAATGATGTTAAGCCAATTCAATGCTTCCATTAAATCTGTCCAGAGTGATTGGGGTGGAGAGTTTCACAGTCTCTCACCTCTACTAATCAAAGCTGACATTGTACACAGATGTCATGCCCTCACACGTCCGAGCAAAACGGAATTGTTGAAAGAAAGCACAGACATCTCGTTGAGATGACACTTGTGTTACTGGCACAAGCTTCCTTACCAATGGAATACTGGTCATATTCTATAATTGTTGTTGTTCAGTTGATTAATAATTACCTACTAAGGTTCTGCAGGGAATCTCTCCTAGTGAGAAGCTGCTGGGAAAGAAACCAAACTACAATGAGCTGAAAGTGTTCGGTTATCAGTGTTTTCCTCACCTGCGACCTTTTCAGGCACATAAACTTTCGTTTCGCTCACAACAATGCATATAACTTGGTGTCAGCCCCTAACATAAAGGATTTTAGTGTCTTGCAGCCGATGGGAGGGTTTACATCTCTCGCCATGTAGTTTTTAATGAGAACTTGTTCCCTTTTACAGGTCGAGCAATTACAATTCAACCACATGTGATTAAAAATCAGCAGTCACAACCTCTAGAAATTGTGAATAATATGCAATGCGTACATGGTCAGCAAATGGTTCATGTGAATACTCCAGGCTGTACTGAGTTAGAATCTTCAGTACCCCATGATATGGAAGATGCGAGCATGGAAGAAGATGTTGGTGAATTCTCAAGTGTGAATGCATCCACTTAACCAACTGATAAACCTAGTCTTGAACATGGAGGAGAAGAAGCTGTGGACCTACCTCCTAGCATGGTTACATCGAATAATGATGCGCCTAATAGTGAGGCTCCAACTAGTGTTGATCCTGAAGCCCCCTAGTGTTGTTGTACCACCTATGAACACCCACCCTATGCTTACAAGAGGGAAATGTGGCATTTTAAGCCTAAAGCCTATTCAAGCTACTTTGACGAGAATGTTTCCTCAACCGTTACTGAAGCCTTGTAATCTCCAAAATAGGCTGCAACAGTCCAGGATGAGTTCGATGCACTTCAAAGAAATAGAACTTGAAGCTTGTTAAGGTCCCTTCTGGACGTACTGCAGTAGGTTTCAAGTGGTTGTTCAAAGTGAAAAGGAATCCAGATGGCTCGGTGCTCAGATACAAAGCACGACTGGTTGTAAAAGGGTTCTCTCAAGTGTCTAGTCAAGATTACCTTGACACCTTTAGTCTAGTTGTAAAATTCACAACCCTTAATGTTATCTTATTGATTGCAGTAGCAAAAAACTGGGAGTTGAGGCATGTTGACATCAACAATGCCTTTCTTAATGAAAAATTACAAGAAGTTGTCTTTATGAAGTAACCACCAGGATTCGAGTAGTTTGCTGCTAATAGTACCCCCTTGTTTGCCAATTACAGAAAGCACCGTTTGGCCTGAAGCAAACCCCTCGTAACTGGCATGCAAAACTAAAAGATGTACTGCTACAGTTTGGGTTTCAGGTGTCTTGAGCTGACACTTCTTTATTTTTTACAAGCACAAGGGCAGAACGTGTATACCTCTTGGTCTATGTGGATGATATAGTTATTACAGGATCTTCAACCTCCATGATTACCAATGTCATAAGCATGCTGCAAAACATGTTTTCCCTTAAAGACTTGGGATCTCTCAGCTATTTTCTGGGAATTGAAGTAATACGGAGTAATGGAACTCTAATGCGTAGTCAAAAAAAGTTTGTCTTGGAACTGTTGGAAAAGGCTGGCATGAGGAATGCTTCATCGTGTGCCACACCTATGATCCTTACACCTAAGTTGCATGAGGATGGAGAGTTACTGGCTGATGCTACTATATATCGATCCATTGTCGGGTCTTTATTATACATTCGTCATACCAGACCTGAGCTTGCCTTCAGCGTTGGGAAGGTGGCTCAATTTATGCACGAGCCTCACGAAATTCATCTAGTAGCAGTAAAACGTATTTTAAGGTATCTTGCAAGAACTGTGGACTTTGGCTTGGTGTTTTTTCCTTCCAGATCGAAATTTACAATTTCAACTTTTGCTGATGTTGATTAGGGTGTAAATATTGCTGATCATAGATCGATATCAAGGTATGGAGTGTTCCTTGACAATAATCTGTTTGCTTGGAGTTCAAAAAAGCAAAAGTCTGTCTCTCGTTCAATGATGGAGGTTGAATATAAAAGCTTGGCTGATGCTACTGCTGAAGTTACATGGGTAAGTACTTTGCTAGCTGAGCTTGGCTTGATGCAGCGTATGAAACCTGTGATTTGGTGTGATAATACAGGAGTTGTTGCTATGAGTGTCAATTCGATTTACCATGCACAATTAAAGTATGTTGACCTTGATGTGCATTTTGTCTGTGAGAAGGTGGTTGCTCAATGGTTATGTGTAAACTATATCCCTGCAGCTCGTCAAGTGGCTAATGGCTTTACTAAACCGCTGTATAAATGTGCATTTGAAGTATTTTGAGGGAAGATTGGAGTTCAAGAATGTACCAAGTCAGAAGAGAAGAAGAATAAGAAGTATAGGGAATGTTAACATGATGAATCAGCATCATGCTCGTGCTCGTACTGCTATGCGTGTGTACTTAGCTTGCATGGTGTGTTAGTTAAGTAGTTAGCAGAGGTTGTTAGTCTGGCCGTTTAGGTTGTTAAAGTCAGTTGAGGAGTCTGTTAAGCATAAGCTAGCTCCTTGGAGTTGTATATAAACAACAACATCGTTGTACATCGATAGAGCTTTTATAAGCATAAAATACAAGTATAAGTTCACTTTCTACTGAGTTCCTAACAATAGGTACTCGAAAGAGAGAAACCGAACAGTAAGACAATGGGGTGCCTTCCTCCATCACTAGTGGCACCAGCTGATCGAACCAATATTTCAACTCCAATTCTTTCCCTTGCCAAACCTCCCCTTTCTCTTCCTCTAACTCAGACATGATGATACAGGAATTATAAGCGAAACCCCATTTCACAATCTTAACTTTAATGTCATCACTTAGTAAGGCCCTTTCAACTAGACCGACATCGTAAGAATCTCTTAGAATGACAGTCATGGAAGCTTTAATCCAATCGTTATACTTGTTAGGGATGTAAAAATTTGTGGGTTTGGTTGTCTCTAGTTGTGAGCCATTCTTCTTTATTTGAGCTCCCAATCCTTTGGACTCCAAGTTAGAACCTTGTATTGTCAAGCAAAACTTCCTTGAAAGTTATCACATCATTCTTCTTATCAAAGTTATACGTCCGAGACATGCCTCCTAACAGTTTCTCTTCTATAATTCTCTTGACCTTTTGTATTCGTGGGGATGAGAGCCTTCCGGCAGTTGTACCTTCAAAAATCTTGATCTTGAAACTGTGACCACTCTCTCATAGATCCTTGCGTTATTTAACTTGGTAACAAACCCTTTGAAGATCCTCCTGACTCTCGAGATGAACAAAAGAGAATGTCGATTGTTTGTACTTAAGTCTGTTGTTGATTGCAGGATTATACACCTTTCGAACCTTGCCATGATGATTGAAGAGCTCTCATAACGCACTTCTTGAGACTCTTCTGGCCAATTGTCCATAGTAGAGGCTGTGAGGGACTCAAAAACTTTGTTTACTAGCAACTTCATTTGCATACTTTGTCTGATGTGAGGGACTCGTTGAGCATTGCTAAGGCTTCGAACTTGGGTGCTAAGCTATCATAATTTGTCACAACGATAGCAACTAATGTTGGTAAGGCAAGATAGGTGTTCATTAATAATGATAATGATGGGTGACATATGTTATCCAACATATACTTTATTACGAGTGATTAAATTTAATTAATGATTGATTCTTTTACGATTAAGTTTTGTTAGAGAAATTAGAAATGGAAAAATGGAACATATGAAACAAAAGAAATATAATGATTACAACTTCAGTTTGTTGCCCCTTATAACATCTTAGAATTCTCAAATATTATATTCACGTTCAAAAGGATAAAATGAGTTTGATAAAAAAAATGCATCATCTATCGATTACGATGACAGATGATGACCGAAATCATGACTGGTCGCAGTAAACGGTGTCCAGAATCTGGATTGATTTGAACAGAATGAGAGAAAATAAGAAAAAAAATAGAATAATAAAGAACAATTTTTGTTATTTATTTTTATAAAAATCCAAAATGATATCATTTTGGTATGCCATCATATCGTTTACCATATCCTCACCTCGATTTTTATTTAACCTTGGAGTGACCACAATGGAAGCAATGTTTAAACTAAGTGACAAAATTATTTTTTAAAACATCTTAGTGACTAGAAAATAAATTATAAAACAGTTGAGTGATGAAATATCAAGAAGTTTTTATAAAAATTCCTTTAAAAAATTTCGACCTACTCTCAACTCTCTTCTTACACATTCCCCGCCGTCATACAAAGCCTCATCTGCTTGTGTATCCCTCTGCCTCTCCTTCAGCCTTCTCTTGCCCAAAAGTTTCTGACAACCGGGAATTTAAATAAGGTGATTTCCCAAACCCTAAACTGAACTTTGAAGGTTCTTCTTGGTTATTAGCTTTTGAGTAATCTGCATCACTCTATTATATTTGATTCTCTGTTTTCATCCTACTGCCTGTTACTCTGTTTCATCAATACTCTCTCTCTGTTTACTTTTATGATAAATGAGCATTTTCTGTTTCTCCGTTTTTCCTTTTACAATGCTATTTTTTCTTTTGTTCGAACGATACACTGCTATTTGCGACCGCTGTGATATTTGTTCACACATCTATTTAGGTCCGCGACTGCGGCCGCCGCTATTTGAACACTGATTGTTACACACACTTGAATTTTTTAATTAAATTTAATTAATATAAAAATTTGTATATGCACCAGCTTAATTCCAGCTCAAACTGGAGTATGAGTATGGAAAACGAATGAATTAGCCTAATCGAGTTGATTTCAAGCTTAAAATTATACTTGATCAAAGCAAATTTCGAATTGAGTTCTTGAATTCAATTACTTTGTTATCGGTTCTGAAAATAGCAATGAAAGTTGTTCCGCATAAAAGTTTATTTCTTTAATCTAATGGAGTGTTATCTTGCTGTGCTTCTTCTTATTTGAAGGATAAGTAATATTTTGAGACGATAAAATGGTACGACCATACCCTATAAAAGGGAGGAAACGGAAGAATAGAGAAGCGAAATATGATCAAGAAGAACAAGAACATGAAGAACAAGTAGTAGAAGTTGAAGAGAAAGAATCAGCGAAGCGAGCTTCTATTGAAAATCCAACAAAGGAAGTTGAAGGTGAAGAAGAGGAAGAAGGCAGAACTGGAACAGATGAACTTGTGGGAATCCCAATTGTGCCCAGTGATAAAACGACAAACAAAGATGGGGTCATTTTTGTTCTTGAGAAGGCTTCCTTGGAAGTTGCTAAAGTTGGAAAGGTATATTGAACTTAGACTTGGTATATATATATATATATGTCGTGCTTAACATTTCTGTTATCATTCGCAAGTAGGAACTTTTGTTTGTACGTATGATGTTTGCTATGTGAAATTTGGTTTTCTACTGTAATTTATCTTGTTTGTTGTAAATTATTAGAGTTTCCAACTCTTAAACTCGGATGATCATGCCAACTTCTTGCGGAAAAATAACAAGAATCCTGCTGATTACAGGCCTGACATAACACATCAGGTTAGTTTCCTATCTTTTCTGATATTTATTTCTGCATGTTTTGTTTTGTTAAAATTATAACGAATTAATTGGTCCTGCACTCTCAATGCATCGAGACAAGGCCACTTTAACTCTAACTAACTGCTAATTCTGTCATTTCCCTATAGGCTCTTCTCTCAATTTTAGATAGCCCAGTCAATAAGGCTGGGAGATTGCAAGCTGTGTATGTAAGAACCGAGAAAGGTGTACTTTTTGAAGTTAAACCTCATGTTCGGATTCCGAGAACATATAAGCGGTTCTCTGGAATAATGTGTAAGTTATTCTGCTGAGGTTATGTCTCTTCTGCTGCATTTTTAATACTTTTACCAGGCTGTTTTGATTGACCCATTCAAAAATCCTGCAGTGCAGTTGCTACAAAAACTGAATATAACTGCGGTTGGCAAGCGTGAGAAACTTTTACGGGTGATAAAGAATCCTGTAACCAATTATTTTCCGGTGAATTCTCGCAAAATAGGTGGGTTTGACTTTGGTTGTTTCTCTTGTATTTTGTCGATACAAATCTGTTTTTTCCAGAATTCAAGTTTTTTTTTCTTGCACATCAGGTTTCTCATATAGCTCAGAGAAATTGGTTAAAATGAGTAAATACGTGGATGCTGCTGGTGATGATGTGAATCTTGTCTTTGTCGTAAGTCTTGTGTGACACAATTCTTTTCTCTCGTCTCTATTCATAACTGTTTTCTATCCTATTTCTGTGCATTTATCCCAGGTGGGTGCAATGGCCCATGGGAAAATAGAGACAGATTATATAGACGATTTTATTGCTAGTAAGTTCCTTATTCTTTTGTGTATATTTTAGATTGTGTTGCATAAGTTTTGAGGATTTTGATTCATGAGCCCATGAATCCAATAAGAACCATTGACCCAAGTAGAACACAGGAGGAAACTAGGGTGATAGGATAGATAAAGCAATTCTTGGTGCTTAATAAAGTCTGGATTGTAAGAATAAGTGGAATGTTTCCAATGCACTAAAGAACCTTTTTACACGGATATTTCTGGAGCAGGTGGTGTGGGGTTTCAGATATGTACATTGCCCATCTTACCAATTTATTCAATTTTTTTCTTCAAATATTTGCGTCTGACCTCTATTTGGAAATAAGTATAGGTATATAATCTTTCATCTATATAAATAGAGAGAGAGAGAGAGGAGGGGGCATGGAAAATAGATGGCTGAGATTAATAGGAAATGAGAAGATATTAACAGGAGAAAAAACAATGAGATAATCTCAGTCATTTATTTTTACTCATCCAACGATCCTAAAAGGGTGTAAAGCTAAAAGTTTTACACTAGGTGTAAGTGAATCCTAACACATATATGTAACATACTTGTACTTTTATCCCAAGTTTGAGCTTATTATATTTAAGATTGCCATATTTTACAAGCTTCTGATTATGCTCAAGGGAAAAAGACCTACATCACTGTCTTATATGGTTTTATTTCTCCTTTTTTCTTGCAGTTTCTGGTTATCCACTAAGTGCTGCAATGTGCATTGCAAGGATTACTGAAGCTTTGGCCAACAAGTGGAATATATTGTAACCCTTATGATCTCTGTGTCAATGAAGTTGATTTTAGGATATATATATCAGTGCTGTACTTTTATTTCATGTTATAAATGTACTTTTTGAGGGAATGTGCATTTTTTTCTTTAGGTAATATGATGTAGGCGGCAGAAAACCCTTTTTGTGAACAAGTTTTTTGAAGAGATATTTATCACCTTTGTTTCATGTTTTTATAAGGATGCTGAAGATGTTTACATCTAATTATATCCATATTAGTTTTGTATGACTTTTTTGCTTCGTTTCTTATAATATTTTCTTTAAATTTTATATTTATAAATATAAAACATATTTGTCATATTAAATTATAATTTTATTAGACCCTGTAACTCAATGTCGACTATTTTATTTATAATGAAATACGTCATTCAAAACTGTTATCTAATATTTAGCTATCTCTATATTCATTAATGATTTTTAATGAGTTTTTTTAAAATATTTGAATAGTTTAAAATAAATATAAGAAAGTATCTGTTTAAGTTTTTTTTAAATTATTTTTAATAATACATATCTCATAAATGTGACTATTTAAATCCAAAAATTTTATTAAAAAAATAATACTCATTTTTATTATTGAGATTCCTTAGTGGATTCAATATTCTCTTAATCTAAATCTAATACGTTTTATTTTCTCTCACTTTCCTCCCAAAGGGGTATTAAATCCTATACAAACCCATGAAAGGCAAGTTAATCGATCCAATCCATAAACGATCACCTTTCTCTTGCACTTCACTGATGGAACTCATTTTAAACCGTAAAGTTTCCAGAACTTCACCCTCTTCACTTATCCTCATCGCCAACCCACTCCCTCTAGACATGGCCAAAACCGCATACGCTGTCGTAATGAGGTCCACAGGCAATAGCCGAATCAAAGCATTGCATAGTTTTGGACACGAAAGAATCCAAGACACAATCTTGTTTCTTGGTGAATGTATAGCCACCCAAAATCCTCCTCTGGGGCTTCTTTTGATGTTGTCTGGGAATCCTGGGAGTTGTGACAAAGTTTCCAGTTTTCCGGCTCTGGGTGTGGTTAGCCAGTACTTTGAGATTCGGCAATCGGTGGTGTCGGCGAAGACCAGAAAGCTGCCGTCTTTGTTTAGTGCCACTCCGTTTGGGAATGAAAGATTGGATAGGAGGATGGTGACTTGTTTGCTTTCCTGCTCGTATTTCATCAGCCTTCCTGTTTTGTCACCGCTTAGAATCACTGATATGTAACTCCTGCAATACATTTGTACCACTTTTCAATCTTTCTTGTTTAAAGAGGAGAATTATATCTGCTTCGAATGTAGATTTAGTAATAAAAGATATTCTTCTTTCTCTAGAGTTCAAGTTTGAACGTCATTAATTAAGAAATATTTTTAATATATATTATTTTATAATTATTTATATTATTGAAAAAAGTATTGTAGTAAGAAAGATAGAGAACATAAACACACCTAAGAATGTACGTAAGATTTTATATTAAACTTTAAGAAAGGCAACGTATAAAATTTAAGAAAGATTTTATTTCTATTTATGCTATTAGATAAATGGGATGACGAAAAGGTGATGATTGGTTAGTGGATGGACGACAACAAAGGCAATGTCAGGAAATGACGGACAATGGTTGGTAATAAGACTGGAATGAGAGATTTTTTTTTTTTTAATTTTACAAAAATGAGTTTTAATTAATAATATTCAATCTTTAAAAAAAATAAAAAATTCAAATAAAATATAAATATGGCATGTGTCACTTGAGGATTTGTTTAACTACTGTTATGGCGTGACACCTAAAAGTGTAACAAAAAAAATATTAAACACCTTTTCTAACAAAAAAAATTCTTTAAACACCTAAAATTAATTTAGAGTATAATATAGACACTAATCGAGATCTTATTTTGTTGTGGCTTAAGTCTTATCAACGTTACCAACAATACTCAATACTAATATTTTTATCATTTCAATTTTGATAAGTCTAACAAATCAATAATACTAATATTTTTATTCTTTCACTTTTGACAACAACGACAACAACAACAAAACCCTATTCCCATATGCAATGGGGTAAGGGGAAGGTAGGGTAGTAGGCTGCCCCCAACGCCAAGTTGAGAGCAGCTTCTGTGGAAGACCTCCGACAGTCAAAAAATTAAGAATAAGATAAAATACAATGCATGTATAAATAAATCAATAAATACATAGTTGAATAGTCTTCATATGCGCGTCTGTAATGGGAAGTAATCCCTGTACATAAATCCCTGCCTAAAAATCTCTGCATATAGACAGAAACGTAAGTCCTTGCTAAATTTAAAAAGATGAAACATGAAGAGAAGGATACACGGAAGTCAGCGATAGCAAGCTACGAGAAGGAATAAAGTCTAAATGGGTTAGAACCTAAACTAAGGCAATACTACTCCGCTACCCTAGTTCTAATCCTTCATAAAATCCAATGAAAGAAACGTATAAAAAGTAGAGGTCATGGAAATTACTACAAAGGCAATTTAAAAAGAAGACAGAGATGTTACACCATATGGTTGTGACCCACACTACTCAACTACCCTGGTCTTTAGTCTTCATACTTTCCTATCAGAGGTCATGTCCTCGGTAAGGGCTAAATCCTTCAAATCAGATCTCAAGCAGTCTACCCACTTCCTCCTTGGTCGTCCTCTCCTTCTGACACCGTCGACTGTAATCGACTCTACCCTCCTGATCGCATCCGACGGTTTTCGCCTAAGGACATGCCCAAACCACCGTAGCCTTCCCTCCCTCAATTTTTCGGATAAAGGCACCACCCTTAAGGACATCCTAATTGCAAAGTTTGGTGTCATGTCCCACAGAGTCCTACCACATGCCCATCTAAGCATTCTCATTTCTGCGGCCTCCATCATCCTTACGTGATTGTTGAGTTAATCAATCGATGGAATTGGCCAAGACGGGGGTGAATTGGCAATTAAAATTTTGGTGGAAGCTTTTGCAGAAAATTGAAAGAAATTGCACAGCGATTTACAGTGGTTCGACTTTCTCAACAAAGTCTACGTCCACTACCTTAGCTATCCACACTAAGGATTTTCCAACAAATTCACTAATTTGTTCTTTATTTTGAGGCCAAAGAGATAACCTTACAATTCTCTCAAGAATATACCCCAATTCTTGAGAACACTCATTTCTCAAAGAGAAGATTACAAATTTACAAACTTACAAGAAAAAACCTCACAAGGCAAATATGTTTGCACAATTCTAGAACAAAGAAAGAACACTCAAGAGTATATACAATTGAGCACAATAAGTGTTCTTGAAAGCAAAATGAATATTGAATGAAAAATAGGCTTGAAATGCTCAAACTTGAGGTTTGATGCTTTCTCTTTGATTCTCTCTTGATTCTAGTTGCTTGATGTTTCTTGTTCTTGATCAATGGCTTCTAAGCTTGTTTAAATACACCTTCAAATGATTCTGAACGTTGGGGATGCTTAGTGGAGTCAATATAGTTGTTTAAGTGTGAAAACAATTAATAAAATCAGTTGGGAGCGTCAGTGCATCGATGCATACCCATGGTGCATCAGTGTAAAATTCAAATATTTTGATCGTTGGACCCTTAGTGCATCGGTGCACTAAGAGTGCATCGATGCATAAAATGCATTCGATGTTTTGAAAAAGCATGTGCATCGATGCATAGTCTTGTGCATCGATGCATCAAATGCACTGAGTGCATCGATGCATGGTATGTGCATCGATGCATAAAATGCATTCGATGTTCAAGAAATTAATTGATGCATCGATGCATGGATTGGTGCATCGGTGCATGCCCTTGAAAAAATGATTTTAGGCTTGATTTTGGTTCAAAATACTTTGTGAAAATTTGTTTAAAAACAGTTTAAGTATAAAACACAAATTTACACATTTAGTAAGGTTTAAAATTGATCTTGAAAGACTTGAAGTAATAGCTTGATATTCGAGTAATTAAATCGAATATACTTTTAGAAAATCATTTGTAAAATCTTAAAAATTCATTTAACTTAATTTGTTATATCGAAACATCAAAATGTTTTCAATAATCTCCCCCTTTTTGATATAACAAAACTCTTGAGTAATTTTAAGATTTTCTTTGAAAATAAGTTTTGAAATCAATTTTGAAATTACTCCAAATTACTCCCACTTACTATAACACTTCTCCCCTTTAAAACTTTTAACACTTAACACTTCTCCCCCTTTTTGTTAAATAAAAAAGACTCAAAAACTGAAGGCTTTGAAAAAAAAACATAGCCAATTGATTAAACATTTTAATTGAATATAGCTTAAGCTGCTAAGATCAAAGATCAAAAGAGAGGTTAGCCATCAGTGTTCATAATCAATATTCATAATAACATGTGAAATGGTAAATTGGTCATATTTCAACTAAAAATAAATGATGCATATATTGAAACAAACCAAAATATATATGAAATAAAAGTTCAAATATCCATCAAACAAACATCCAACAATCAAAGAAAGACAACCCAAAATGTTTTAACAATTTAAATTCAAGTTCAAACCCAAAAACAATCAAAACAAGATAAGTCTATTCATCCATCGAAGGATCGGGAGGAGGAGGAGGGTAACGAGCTCTCATCTCAAGCGTGAGTGCATCCAAATGATCATTCATATCTTGTTGTCGAGCTCCCAATGTAGAGAGTTGGGACTCAATGAATGTGAAGCGCGAATCCATGGAAGCATACTGTAAATCAAATGTCTCCAAAAACGAACGAAAATATGGAGGCATTTGATCTTCTTGTGGAGCTGGTTCCGGTGCAGGCTCGTCATCGGGTACGTGATCATCAATGTCTTGCATAAGTTGTTGAAATTCAGGATCATCGTCAGAAGCTAGAGCCGGAGGAGGAGGAGGATCACGAGAGGAGCTAGGAGCAGCTCGTGAGGAACTAGCTCCCAGAGTTTGTTTACCGGGTTTAAAAGCCCATAAACCAGTTACCTCATCCAATTTCCAATTTGATTTCTTCAAGGATGTTATATTGATAGGGTTTTGAAGTGGTATAGGATTGTCAAGAGAGACAACTAGACCCGGTTTGATAAAGAGATTACTTAGAAGACAACCATAAACTAAGGTTTCGACATGTTTGGACGGGATAATGTTTATGATGTCCACTAGTTGACTGAATATAATGTGG